AAAAAAAATCAAAATAAAACTCAATGGCCAAAGATGAAACATGAGGACAACGTGACACACCAAGAGCAAGCTTGTTGACCAATACAGAGCCCAAAAGTGGCCTTGGACTGGGAGATGAAAGCTACCACTGCTGCTTCTTATAAAACCAGTTACGTACTAGTAAATTCCAATGTGTTCTCTAACATTTTATTATTTTTTCTTGAGATGGAGTCTCACCCTGTCACCCAGGCTGGAGTGCAACGGTACAGTCTCAGCTCACTGCAACTTCTCCCTCCTGGGTTCAAGCAATTCTCCTGCCTCAGCCGCCCAAGTAGCTGGGATACAGGCGTGTGCTACCATGCCCAGTTAATTTTGTAGATTTAGTAGAGTCAGGGTTTCACCACGTTGGCCAGGCTGGTCTTGAACTTCTGACCTCAGGTAATCACCTGCCTCAGTCTCCCAAAATACTGGGATTACAGGCATGAACCACCACACCTAGCCCAATATTTTAACATTTATTGAGGCATTCTTGCAGCCAGCCATCTTATCCGTTAGGAATATAAATTAAATGGTAGAATGCTTTTTACATAAGTACGGATATACCAGATGATTCAGAAGAGGAAATTCTAGGTGCCAGTGAAGGTTTCATCATAAAATACAAGATTTAGGCTGAGCACAATAGCTCACACCTGTAATCCCAGCACTTTGGGTGGCCGAGGCGGGTGTATTGTTTAAGCCCAGGAGGTGAAGTGAGCCGAGATCGCGCCACTGCACTCCAGCCTGGCTGACAGAGCAAGACCTTGTCTTAAAAACGAAAAGGACTGGCCAGACATGGCAGCTCACGCCTGTAATCCCAGCACTTTGGGAGGTCAAAGCAGGCAGATCACCTGAGGTCACGAGTTCGGGACAAGCCTGACAAACATGGTGGAATCCTGTCTCTACTAAAAATACAAAATTAGCCAGGCATTACGGCAGGCAAGGGTAACCCCAGCTACTTGGGAGGCTGAGGCAGGAGACTCACGTGAACCCAGGAAGCAGAGGTTGCAGTGGGCAGAGATTGTGCCATTGCACTCCAGCCTGGGTGACAAGAGCGAAACTCTGGCTCCAAAAAACAAACAAACAAACAAAAACAGATTTAGCTGGAAAGTATTTTACCTTGGATTTAAATTGCTACAATACCTTCTTTTTTTTAACTGCTCAAAACCAAGGCCACTTCTAAAGTATCAGTGAATGTAATTGATATTTACTTCTGTTCTGCACATCTTCCTCAGTGACCTGAAAGTGCGACAGTGAAAACTGCCATGGGACTACAATTTGTAGGTAGCCTGGGGTTGGTGGGGCTATGAGTGGGTCTCACAGACAGTATTATTAATGGTAGTGAGGTCAGTTGGGCCCAGTGGCTCACGCCTGTCCCAGCAATTTGGGAGGCCAAGGCAGGCAGATCACAAGGTCAGGAGATCAACAGCACTCTGGCCAACAAGGTGAAAGCCCATCTCTAATAAAAATACAAAAATTAGCTGGGTGTGGTGGTGTGCACCTGTAGTCCCTGCTACTTGGGAGGCTGAGGTAAGAGAATCGCTTGAACCCGGGAGGTGGAGGTTGCAGTGAGCTGAGATTGCGCCACTGCACTCCAGCCTGGTGACAAAGCGATACTCTGTCTCAAAAAAAAAAAAAAAAAATAGTAGTGAGGCACAGATGTAAGGGCAGCAACAACCAATCCTCTGTGGCTGAAGGATTGCCCTGTGGTACAGAGTGTTACCGATGGGCTTTAACCATATGGCAC